ACTGAATGAAGAAAATATATTTTGCTTCAATACTAATGAGTTCAGAAGATCTGACATCCTACATTGTATCACAGAATTATTATTTGTGAAATAATAAATGACAAGGCCATCACAGGTGCTTCTCGTTTAATTTAACACTGAAGTTTGATACTAAGAGATACAACTGAATACTAGGATTGTTATTGCTGTATCAAGCATATTTCCACAGTACTACAGCCACAACAAATTAAGAAACTAATTATTTCAAAACAACCCAAATTACTGTGCATTTTAAATACGCTCTTAATAAAGAATTGAAGGCCTTTATTCCTTATGCTGTGAGAAGGTCACATAACCATGGGATGACCTGAGAGGAATCTCTGGAGGTCATCTGGAAAAGCCTTTACTCATAGCAGGGCCAAATTCAGTCTCAGATACACTTGAGTTAGATCAGGTGTTTCAGAGCTACGTTCAGCTGAGGTTTGAGTCTATTCAAGGATGGAGCTCCCACAACTTCTCTGGAAAGCATGATCCAATGTACGACTGCTCTCACTACGATTTTTTTTTCCTAATATTTAATCAGAATTTCCCCCTTGTTGCATCCTGGGTCCACTGTCTCTCCTCTTATCACTAAGCCCATCCAAAACCAGACTACAGTACATCTATATTGAATGCCTGAACTTGTTCCAGTCCTATTCAAGTGAAGTACAAAACCTCCAGTCAGTTTACTCATGGGGAAATGGCCTCAAGTTGCGCCAGGGAAGGTTTCATTTGGATATTAGGAAAAATTTTTTTCACATAAAGGGTCATTAAGCATTGGAAGAGGCTGCCCAGGGAAGTGGTTGAGTCCCCATCCCTGGAGGTATTTAAAAGAGGGGCAGACAAGGTGCTTAAGGACATGGTTTAGTGATGGGATGGCAGTGTTAGGACTTGATGATCTTAAAGGTCTTTGCCAACCTAAACGATTCTATGATTCTATGAATACCAGGGCCAATGATCTGTGCGACTGCTTTGACTCCCTCTTTGCTCTCCTAATCAATTAAATTAATTTATGTGGAAAAGTAAACCATATCAAAAATCAAAATGCAACACTTCTACTGGAAAAATTAAGAACTGTGATTTTATTGGTTATTTATTACTTACCAGATCGGCTCCAAAACTAAAAGGAGCCACTCTGTAGCTATAAGATGCATGTAAAATACATACAGATTGAAAATGTGACCTAAGATTACCAGTCCTACAGGTTTTTATTTCAGACCCAAGCCTCACAAAATCAGCAAGATTTAAACACCGTCCAACCAACTGCAAGTGCAGTCGATCCCATGAGATCTCTAAACGTAAACCTATTGTGTGTTCAAGTTCTGCAAGCCCTACCCAAATTCTATTTGGATCCAACAATACTATCCTTCTGAATTTCCGTGATTTCCAAAAATGCAGTCTTTGTTTCCCAGTCCCAAGAATTGTGTCTTGGCAGAATGTAGCAAATCCTCAAAGAGAAGTAGATCAGCAGCATATTCCAATGTTCTTAAAATAATTATTTCCAAAACTTACTCATCTTACAGACAGGAAGGATAGCTATACAATTCCCAATTTTCAGTTAATTAATTGCCATTACTATCATTTAAATCTTAACTCTTTCACTTCATCACTGTAAAAATACTAATTTTTATGTGACAATTGACCATCAGTTGTATAGCAGCAAGGAATTGTAGAAAAATAGCCTGCTGTGGTGAACGGAGCCTAAAACTAAGCAAGAGCTGCACCCCTTCTTTAAGAAATTCGCCCAGTTCAGAAATTTCAGAGAGCTCTGAAAGTTCAGGGTTCCTCCAGTTTTGAATTCCCAACTTTGGCTCACTGAACTGAAAGAAGTATTACATGCAGCTTTGGCAAGAGGGGTTTTCAATACTGAAGCTGAATTTCCAGTGCATGGAAAACACTACGGTGCTGACGCACTGGGAATGTGTGTTTTACTTGCAAAATAAACCAAAAACACAAAGTGAAAAAACACTTCTTGACAGTTGTTACTCTTTTGTTCCCGATGAGAGAGATCCTAAAAATGATATAGTCTCATACATTTTTTGGATTGCAGAGATTTAACTCAAGTAGTTCTACTGGATGCAGTGTACGTCTTGATGGCAAATGCAATTATACATCCGCACAACACGCATATCAGCCCCTCAGGCACAGCCACCAGCAAAGGTTACACGTTTTGGGGATGTCGTCTGAGTTATCGGAGCAAAACACCATTCCCCCATCAGCTGCCTTAACAGAAAGGGCAGCATCCTGCAACCAGCGCATTGTTCAGGGCTAAAATCCCAAGCCTCCTCCACCCCTGCTAGCACAATAGGCACCCCCTCGTACTTCCTCCTCCTTTATCAGCGGACAGATGCTTCATCTCCAGATCAATGGGCCAGTGATTCTTTTACCAACATAAAAGGATGCAGCAATTTACCGGTTCAAAGATTTTACTTTCTCAAATTTATCAAGTCCCTTGAATCCCCGAGCTGAGTAACTGTTACCTGTCAGTTCTACCACACAAGCACCACGAGCCAAAATCTGAAGTTAAGAGTTTCCAGCTTTATAAAGCATTTTAAAATGCGATTAAAATCTATGCCTGGCATCTATCACTTCCCTACATAACTGCTGAAGTTCCACTATGTACAGTAACAAATGATGAAACGTTATCGTTCAGTCTAATGGACACAGCCTTATCTCCAAGCATAAGGATTTAACATACATCGGTACAATTAATGTTAATGGCAATCACAAACATAAATCTTCTGAATATTGAGAGGAATTAGTCTGTTAAAATGACCAACTGCACTCCCCAAACAATCGCTAGTCAAAACATTAATACCCAGAAGCTGTCTTTCCACTGGAATCATTTTCCAGTGTGGTCTGCTAACAAATTATTTGGAAAGTAACAGCTTAAATAGGGATCAGCCTATGTTACGCTAACTATACTGGTTAAAGCATACACTTCTAAATCACGACCTTCACGATGAACACAGTGCAGGCAAGTCCAAGGAAGAGCACATGAAACGAAACTGTCAAAGCAATGAAGGGGACTTCGCCACGCGCTTTCCATTCATCTTCCCTTCGCCGCTTCGAAACAAAATCTCATTCACCATCTCTGTTATTTAGAGTCCCCTGTGTTTGTGTATCTGTGTACTTCCACGTACTGTAAACGTTGAGACAAAATTACCCTGCCATGGTAGTTTCTCAGAAACGCATTTTCGAAGCAGCATGAAGGTTTTCACTGTGTGACACATATTAACATCAATTGGATTCACACAGCTAAATCTCTCTGCAATTCGTTGCCAATTTACCCCTTCCAGAATTTAGTATTTTTTGAATTTGCTTTATTTTCCAAACATTTTCACGTTGCGGTATTTTATGGCACGGTGGCTACACTAGCACAGGCACCGTCTCTGCCAGTTGCTTTCATTTTCTAGTACGGACAAGGCCAACAGCCGAGACTTTAGTGGCACCTGTAAGAATTATGGCTGTAATCCAAAGGATCCATATATCCTTACGATACATTTGCCTTATGTACGCATAGCTCCTAACAGTCTTAAATGACAGATTTATGCACAAAAAGGTACAGATACGTTTCTGAGTTCTTAGCGTGACGACTTTGGAAACGGCACATGACAGTGCTTCAGTCATGAAGAGCAAGAGAGCGAAAGATCACGGGGCAGGGGAGCACGGTACTGCTCTCCTTACACAAAATTCCCTTGGCTTTCAGGAGCAGAATCCACCTGCAGAGGTGCAAGGAAACCATGCAGCTACGAGTTCTTCCTGACCTGGTGCCACCCAGCCCCCGTCTCAGTGATTATTTCCAGAACCCTGTATTGCCCATGACGACACGGATTCACGTTTAGGAACGAGGTGATCGTTAAATGGCAGCAGACTAACTACCGACTGCCCTTGGGACTCCTGAATAAACATTAAAATGTGTTTATTATAAAACGTAAAAGCTGTCTGTCAGAAGTAAACACTTTCACGGATCAAAACACGGCATTATTGTCGTTTTTATGTCAAAACCCTCCAACTGACAAACAGCGCTGAAAATTACAAACAAATCTTCCTGCAGTTAATACACTTAATGTATCATCATTAGAGAACGCGCATTTTATCAGCTGTCATGCAGTAACTATCGTTCCCTTCACTTTGTAACTCTTCGTCCCAGCAACACAGAAACAGGCAGCCTAGGCAAAAGTTGGAGAAGTCGACAGTTCTACAGAACCGAGAAACCGTCCCTTGAGGCCGCTAAACGCCGCATCTTTCTTTCCAACAGGAACCAAATCTTTGGTATGACCATGTTTCCAGGAATCTGGCTTTTTTACTTCACATCCTCTTACACCAAAGAGAATCTACGTAGTACCTATATGCTATAAAAGGTGTTGCCAACTGTGTCTTCTAAGATCTCTCTTTCTCAGGTGATACCAAAAGGCTAATATTAAGGCTAAGCCTGAACTGTTCCCAGCCCCTTTTCTGGCATGACCAGAATACGACTGAGGTCAACAACTTCCTTCTTTAAAATGCATGCCCGTCTGTCTCCTGTCCTAAAGTTCTTCCTCAAGTTGCATAGACCATCCGTACTTCTGAAACGCTACAAATCAGCACCACAAGCGCTCCGGGTTTTGTAACATTTAATCTAAATGTTGTCCACAGTCAGGAATACCTCTTTCGCTCCTCCATAAATGGGATGCAAGGTAAAATAAATCTCGCTTAATGTCAGTAATGTCCGGGGCTGCAGTTTTGTTGTGCGCGCTTTATACTCACGACCTCCGAGGTGTTAGAAAAAGATCTAAAAACCGCCTGCGGCGACCACTTCGGCAGACATAAACTGAACACCGCCACCGCTGAGATCACGGGAAGCGCCTGAGCTTTAAGTTCATGCCTACTGGATTACTTCTTGGATCTAAACCACAACGTTTATTTTTAAATGAAAATAAATTAAAATGAAAGCATTTTGCCATACAGACGTTTATCAGTGCCTGAAAGACACGAATATGATGGCGGAACATTATTATGAAGCAGGTAAGTACAACAGAAAAAAATGAGGCATTAAAGTCATTTATAAAAGTTGTTATAGCATCTGATAGGTCTTTTATAAAATACAAATCTTTGTCTGAAAGACTTTATACGCATTTCTCTGCAGATTATGGTGGCTGTTCACACTTTACTTCAATTTTTAGAGCCTCCAAGTAATTCTACAGGATAGTAAATACAGTTGTTATAACCTTCATAACCGGCAGAGAGATGTATTTGAAGAAAAAGGGTTTGTTTCCCCTCCCACATGCACTGAAGTAAATCAGGAGTGATTCTGCTGCAGTCGATAGGACAGTATCTGCAAAAGTGATGCAAAACAATAAAAAAACCCACCGAAGAAATGCACAAACACAGCTTTCCTCACACTACAAGTACAAATGGTGTGTCTTCCCTGCTTTTTTGGCAAGGTTGTGCCACTGAAGCACTCGCACCCCACTTAGCTGCATCACACTAAAGCACATCTGAGTAAGGTCCAGACTCAGACTGGAAACAATGGGGGGTGCACCAGTTTACACCAGCCGAGAATCTAGCGTAAAGCCTTGAACGTGAATGAGGATCTTCAAATGAAGTAATTGTACGTACTGCATTTGAGTGTATTACCCCTGAAACAGAAGCGATTTCAAAGTGCTGTAACACTAAACTGGAAAGATTAGCAAAGGATTAGGGAAAAAAAAAAAAAAAAAAAAAAAACCCAACCCAAACCCAACAGTAAACGCATCCCACGTTTTTTCTTTAGAGACACACACACAAGGCACAGTGCTCATCTTAAGAAAGGTCATGTGGCAAAATGATGACTCTGAGTCACTAGAAAAAAAAAAAAAAAAAATCTTTTAAAATGCTCTTGGGACCAGGGACTACTGTTAAAGGAAGAGCATTATTTTATCACCCAGCTAATGAGCCAGAGGAATGATCATTATTGTTCAGCGGCGTTTTGTCGCGACAACTCTTTTCTCTGAAACAGATACGCCAACTTCAGTAAACAAAGAGAAGCAGATGCACCGCTCCGGTGTTCCAGTTGCGCACTGAGGAATATTTCATCGGAGGAACGGAACCCCAAGAAAAGTCACCGGAGAGGGCCGGCAGATTCCGCTTTCGCGAAGGTGAAGACAAACAGAGAAAGGCACGAGGCGGCGGTGCCGGCGCCCCCGCCCGCACCCTCCCCACCGCGCTGACCAATAATGGTAAGAGAATATACAAAACAAGTGACACACAAAGCAACTGCTCACCACCTGCTAACCAATGCCCAGCCCATTCCAAGTAGCGATTGCTCCCCCCCAACTAACTTCCCCCAAGCACGACGCCACATGGTCTGGAATAGCCCTTGGGCCAGTTGGGGTCAGCTGTCCTGGCTGTGCCCCCTCCCAGCTTCTTGTGCCCCTGGCAGAGCAGGGGAAGCTGACAAAGTCCCTGACCAGTCTAAGCACTGCTCAGCAACAACTGAAACATCAGTGAGTTATCAACGTTCTTCTAGAACTGAATCCAAACCACAGCACTGTGCCAGCTACTAAGAAGAAAATTAACTCTGTCCCAGCCGAAACCAGGACAAGATAGAAGCAAACAAGATATTTTATGTTCATTATTGCGTAAATCATTACAGAGGACAAACACTTATAACTTTAGCCGGTGATGGTTTTTGATCTATTGCCCTTTTAGGTTAAAAGTGCACTGCAAAATACTAAATTCAGTATTTTTTCTAAACAAAAAAAGCTGAAAACTTTTAAAGATAAACATAAGCTTTCAATACTTAGTTATTTATTGCAACCCATCTCACTTTTAAAAGGTTTAGCAATTACTATTTAATCAAAAGTATCCTAGCATTGGACAGTATACATTTTATTTTTTTTTTTCCGAGCCATGGTGCATCATTCATTCTATAGGCTGATTATCGACATCCAACCACTACTATGCCTTCGGTCCCTTCTTTTATAAATGACTTTTTTTACTATCACACACCATTTCAGGACCTGAGTTTCAGCATCAAACGTTTCTTGGTAGAACGCATTCCAAAGTCCATCATCTCCCTCCCTTCTCATCTCCTAAATACTTGCTCTTTAGCTTCTGCCGCAAATTGATTCCTCTCATGTCTGTCTGATCCATGGACCATGCCAAATTCTTCTGAGACTTTAAAGTTGGATTTAAGGTCACAGAATTAAAGTGAAGTGCCAGCTAAGAAAAATGAATAAATAAATTGAAAATTTTAAGCCACTGATGAGCTAGTATCAAATGCTTTCGTCTTTTCAAGCATTATTTTTACATTAAAATCTCTATCATGTATAAACAGAATTAAACATACTTTTACTTTCTTTTTTTGTGACATGATCATTTATAAATAAAAGAGCTGACAGACAGAAAAAGGTCCAAACGTTTGCTTTCTTATGGTCAATCTTGGTGTCTACAAATCTCAGAAGAGGACGGGAAATTAATTTCTTGCTTCTATTCTTTAAAGAAAAAATATTTTTAACTTGAAAGCCTTGGTATGAAAGCAGAAATGTGCTAATGAAAAACGTGCAAATATATACACTCAACTCATAAGACATCTGGTATAAAATACAGTGAGGTGTAGTATGATGAAAGCAGAACAGAATTCTTAGGCTTCCTGACAAATTTCACTTTTAATGACTCAGTAAATATGAGTAAGATAATACAGTTTCTTCTAGTTTAGATACAGAGATATCTCTGAATGGAGTGAAATCGTCAAAGAGAAACAAGCGGGGAGGAGCGGCATCGGTGGAGCTCTACTCCGGTCCCCGCACCTACACGCGCACTTCGGTCGTAGGCAGGTGATGTTTTGGGCAGGAATAATAGGCACAAAAACGCACACTATCTCTTAAAAATATTTTTGCACATGGATGACGTCTCAACCACCTGTTTTGGTTTTTTTTTTTCCTCTCTCCAGCAAAGTCTGGGTAAATCAGATGATTTTTTACAGGCGTTAAGGTGTGTTCTGCTTACCAGACAGTGCTTTCCTACGGCCTGTTACCAGCTGCTGTTCCATGACAGACAGGCGTCTGCCAAGGAACACTGAAGCTTGCCCTGAGAAAGGAGAGAAAAAAAAAAAAAAAAAGCTACCTTCTGCAAGGCATTTCAGCAAAATACCTGATTAATATTTCTATGAAATACACACTGCTGTATCCCCAAACTACGCTTTTAATTTATGCATTAAATGGTAGTGACAATAGGCAAATAATTACAAAAGTACTGCAAAATAGTACCGTGTCAGATTAGATTTGGAAAGCTGCTTTTTTTTCTACCACTTCCCTTTTAAGTAGGAAGGCAGTAAGCTAAGTTTTATATACCAAACCGAAGGAACAAAGAAAGACAAGAACTAGATTCTGTTCATCCAAGATATGTATTTGGCTAGGTATGTATGTGAGGAGTGCGAAATATAACCCGCACTGCACAGTATACAAAACTTCAATAAAACAGCCTGAGATTTATATTTCTGTGCATGGCTTTTAAGAGAAAATTCTACCTGGGGCTAAACTTTACTCAAGTTATGCGTTCTGAGAACGTATGTATTTTGAAGGATGAATACTTGAAGATCTGGAAGTAAATTGAAAAGGCAATAGTTGCCAAAAATACATTGTGCCAGCCTGAACTGGTAAATTTTATGGATAATTGGTTTTCTTACAGAGAGGACTTAGAGTAGGCATCATCTCTCTGGGCTTCACTGGAGTATTTAATACGCTACCAGATGCTTTTTAGTTAAACCCAATAATACCCTTAATCATAAGGCTTGCAGGGTGGGTAAGGAACCAGATAAACGAAATGGGAAGAGCTAGCGCTGAAGAGGTTTTGCTTGTACTCGCCCTATTCAGCCCCTGCTGGTACACTGGTGGGGTGAGGTCCATGACTCCTTCCGTCCCTTATTTCTCCCAGGGGTAGTGCTCTTCTGAGAAGCAGCTAAACCCTTACCTTCCCTTCTCACAAGAAAGCAGATACCTTCCAGTACTGGGACAGTGGTGGATGTTAACCCCCGTTCTTCGTTAAGGCAGAACTGTCTGAAGACCTGGCTAAGAGGCACAAGCCACTTTTCACCTCTCCAGGCTACTGTTTCAGCAACCTGCAGAACCAAGCAGGTACTGCTGTTTCAGAGACGAGCAGTGTTCAAACTGTCTTCCAGACTATGAGAGGCAGAAAAATCCTTTAAAAAAAAAACCAACACAAAACAAACAAAAATCACCCCCAAAAAAACAGGAAAAGAGAAAAGCGATAGTGGTTATTTCTGTATAGACAGTTTAATTCACCCATCTTCACAATTTCTAATTTGTGTGTTACTGAACTTGAATTCAGAGCCGATGATAACTTTCAAAGTATGTGAGAGAAAGTCTCGGAAGTGATATTTAAAAAGCAATAAAACCCCAACCTTTTTCCAAACCACTTGCATCCTTGCTTATCCTTATAAATTATAGAACTTCCTATCTTCACTGAGGGAAGTTTCCCAGAGATCTACAAATCTCTTCACGTTTTGTTGTTTCCTTTCTCACGTTCCTGAAGTATTTTACAATTTCTGCCCTCTAGCTAGCCAAAACTGATCCCAAAATGAAAAGGTCAGTTGTTTAAGGCAGATTTCTTCCTGACTATAAGGGTTTACAAACAAAAAACTGTTACCTGGTCAGGGAAGTGGTAAAAAAAAAAAAAAAAAAAAAAGTTAATTAGCAAGAGAGCGCTGTAGAATGTGACTTCCACAGGAGCACAAGGAACGAGGCCATTAGGATGTAATTGCCCTACAGCGGAAAGCACTGGGTATGGGAGAGATACAGGAGAGAGAACCGAGGTCAGGAGGAGGTTAAAAATGAAGTGTGATTATGAGAAGGCGTAGGATTCCTAGAACGTATCGGAGAATGCAATATAAGAATAATACAATGTACAAAGCAAAGAGGAAGGGCTGTATTTTATAGATTTCTCTACCCATGAATTGGGCAGAGAAGCTGATAGTCAAATAACCATAGAAACTCATTTCCAGCTTCTTAATGAAGACAGCCCTA